TGCTTTCTGAGGCGAGGGACAGGCCGAGCAGGGCACCTCCTGCCTCTCCCCGCCGTGGGGGGAAGCATGGTAGCTGGTTGATGGCGGCGGCAGCTTGCCCAGAGAAGGCCACGGTGGAGGCTCAGGAGCCGCGGCCTCACTCCACCTTGGTCCATCCGCCCCTGGGCTCAGTGAGGCAGCCACAACTTGGCCTGCAGCCCGGGGACGTGGCTCACATAGTTAAATAGTTTTAAAAAGTTATTTTTCTTACCTTCGATCTTTTTTTAGTGTCTTCATCTCTCTCTCTCTTCCCACCACCCTCCTCTCTTCTGTATTCCCACTCCATATTCCCACTCTGTATAAAGATCCAACACATGGGTGCAATAGGGGGAAGAGCCGGAGACTAGCAGAGAGCCAATGCACACGCCAAATTGTAACAGTTCCCTTCAACTCTGCATGTGCTGGCTCTCTGCTAGTCTCCAAAACTGAAAGAGTTTCAGAGAACTCTTGTGCTGGCTCAGAGCTTTCAGACTCATTTGGAGATCGTTTTCTCTGAGCGAGTCCAAAAACTCTGAGGTGGGCCGGGTTAATGACCATATCGAGCCCATAGGCTGTTTGAGGACCCATGCTGTATACTGTCACCCTGCCTATTTAACTTATATGCAGAGCACATCATCAGAAAGGCGGGCCCAGATGAATCACCAGTTGGAATTAAAATTGCTGGGAGAAATATCAACAACCTCAGATATGCAGATGATACCACTCTCATGGCAGAAAGTGAAGAGGAACTAAAGAGCCTCTTGATGCGGGTGAAGGAGGAGAGCGCAAAAGTTGGCTTGAAACGCAACATCAAGAAAATTAAGATCATGGCATCCGGTCCTATCACTTCCTGGCAAATAGATGAGGAAGAAATGGAGGTAGTGACAGATTTTATTTTCCTGGGCTCCAAGATCACTGCAGATGGGGACTGCAGCCAAGAAATTAAAAGATGCTTGCTTCTGGGGAGGAAATGATATGGCAAATCTAGACAGCATACTAAAAAGCAGAGACATCACCCTGCCAACAAAAGTGCGTATAGTCAAGGCTATGGTTTTCTCAGTTGCGATGTATGGCTGTGACAGCTGGACCATAAGGAAGGCTGAACGCCGAAGGATTGAGGCCTTTGAATTGTGCTGCTGGAGGAGACTCCTGCGAGTCCCTTGGACCACAAGGCGATCAATTTCTTGGCTGCAATCCCCATCTGCGGTGATCTTGGAGCTCAGGAAAATAAAATCAGCCATGCAGGTGAAGATGGAGTCACTGAAGCAGTCGGTGTGAGCTTGGGTGGACTCCGGGGGATGGTGGAGGACAGGGAAGGCCTGGAGGAATGTTGTCCATGGGGTCGCGATGGGTCAGGCACAACTTCGTGACTAGCAAGAGCCATGAAGCTCAGTTGATGACTCAGCCAGTCAGTCTCAACGTAGGGTTGTTATTGTGAGGATAAGAATGAAGCTGCACAAGCTGTCTTGGGCTCCTCACAGGTGGGGTATAAATGCAATATAATAACATGAATCAAAATTCAGATTTAACACTGCTAGTCACGCTGAAGACAAGAGACTTAAAACTAATAAGCTTGATGCAACCAACAGTTGAAACATGTGTGATTTCTGTGTAAATTGTGCAAGCAGCAGAATTCATTTTAGCAGTGCCTTCACTCTAAATAGGGCACTATACCGTCTGCTATCAACAGTCACAGTTTATGAAGGCAGGATTGGTACTGTGTGCCAAGGTTTTCTTAGGGAAAGATGGTTTATTTGCAGATAAAGCACATGAACAGTGTGCCCTCTGAAGTGCCCTCTCTCACACATGCATTGATTTTGGATGTTGTGTGTCTGTGTGTCTTCATCAGCTGTTGTCTGTAACTTCTGGTCGCAACTGCAACTCTCTCACAACAGTCAATGCAAACTGAAAGATTTGTGTCCCTGCCTGACCTTACAGAGGATGACACACAAACAGGCATGATAACACAGGTGGTAAAAACTCTGAATGGGATTACTATAGCCCATTATGATCCCTGGTCTGCTGTTGTCCTTTCTTTTTTAACAAGAAGCAGAAAATAATAGGAGCCTGTACCAGAGAATAATGATTTAAAAAAAAAATCAAGGATTCTGAACATTTTTTGTTCAATTTAAAATGCCATGTTTCTTTAAATTGCAGTCATGTACAGTTAAAAATAAGGTTCATGACTTTTCTGTACTTAAATAAATTTTTATTTTAAAAGATTGAAAATGACCCTTTTCATTATTTTAGAGTGCCCTTTTGCATTCATTTCTCCCAGTGAAAATTCCTTTTAAAAAAGCCCTGTGTAATGATGGCTACCAACTCAGATAGCTTTAAAAGAGTATAATGGAAGATAAAGCTATCAATGGCCACTAATCATGATGGCTGCATACTACCACCAGAATGAAGGCAACATACTTCCGAGTACCACTTACTGGGAATCAGTGGGAGAGGGCTATGTGGCCTCCACGTTCTTCTGGGCATCCAGTTGGCCACTATGGGAAATTATATTCTGGACAAGATAGACCTTTGAAACAGCTGTGGTAGAGGAGGTGAGGCTCCAAAGGTGCTTTTTTAATGAATTGCGGGAACAATTGTATGTCCAAAACACAAAGGAAATTGTAAAAGTACCAAAAGGAAGAAGAGAGAAGCAATGAGTTAAACTATTTAACAAAACTGACTTTCTCCCTCATCCAAAAACAAGAGAAGGCATGAATGAGTTAGTTTCATTAACTAAATATTAAGCCAAGCTACAAGGAACTGCTGAAGGATTGGGCAAAAGAATTTTAAACAAGAGCACGCAGTAAGCATTAGATACCTAACATCTGAGACAGTTCTGAGCAAAAGAAGGAAGCAGCGAAATCCAATGGTTGTGAGTTTTAATAAGCATAATAATGTCATTACTACAAGAACATGAGTTAGTATAATTATTAATAATATCAAGAACAAGAGTAAGAAAATGAGAGAAAAAAGAGAATTCAGAACTTGGAAAGGTCAGAAAGAAACTTAGAGGATAATATAGCACCACAGTACATTGATTAATAGAGAAACAAACAGCATGAACTTCAATACTGGTGACTGACTGGTGAAGACAGGGAGTCTTTCAAGGCAGGGATGAGGAAGATGGTGCCTTCAGATGCCGTTGGGACTGTGGCTCTCAACAGGCCTGGCCTGCAAGTGTTGTGACCTGACAGGAGCGGCAATCAAACATCATCTGGAGAACCACTCCATCCCTGCTTTAGGTGTAACAAACAGTGCAAATAAATGTGGAGACAAAACAGAACCCAAATAGTGCTTGTAACTCTCTATTAAAGAATTTGGTTCTTGCCTTGTGTCTTCCCCTCCCTCTCTGTGGCCCCATGAAATGTGTCTTTCACCAGTTAAGTAACTTCCTTTGTGTCAGCTTGTATTTTAATGCAAGGGTGTCCTCATATCTTATATGGTGGGAGACAAATTTCTAGTATTCATTGCTATAGCAGGACAAGTTTGAAGGAGCAGATGCCATGGGGAGCTGGGACAAGAAATGGATGAGAAGTAGAAGCCATATGATCTGACTCAGAAACTTGCCAAGACTCCCGTTAGTTTCTGAACAGGTGTCTGTCTCCTAAATTTTCCAAGCAAAAATAAGGAATGATGTTCATGGAAGCCTAGTAAGTGTGGGGCGATTCATTTTCAAATCGTGAAAATGTTATAAAATCCTAGCTGCTAAGGGCTAGAACTGGGTTGCCGGCCTTTGTGTAGAAATCCTTTTTTCTTCAAAAGTGCTCTGGCTGACATGTCCTTTAAATGTCAATAAAGTTTGGATCTGGGCAGTGTTCCACTGGTTGCCTCTTTCTGGACCTTTGTTATTTGAAGTACAAGGCAGCCCTATGATGAATATAAAAATAGGCAAGGGTACAAGGAGAGATTGTGGGAAACATTAAAAGTGCCACGAAATAGTATCATGTTCCCACCTGAAAGGGTCTGGCAGTCTTATCCTTTGCCTCAGACCTTGTGCAAGGACTGGTTAGTGACTAAGAAGCCCACACTTTTGTTCATTCAGTTTCCAGCTTCCAGGATCTCAGAAAAATTAGCCCAGCCAATCAGGGACTGGGGATATAAACAAAGGAAGGAAATTGGAGAAAGGGCATTTGTTGTGGGGAGCAGGGGTCAATACTAGCAAGGAACAAGCCAACAGGCCAATTAGATTCCATTTGAGTTGTTAATCTTCTCTTATCCTCAGTAGAAGAAATCCATAGAATATACTATTCTCCCCTTCATGTGTAGCGGAGTCTCTAGTTCCCTGTCCAAAAGTATTCGCAATGCAATAGACAGGTGCACTGCAGCCATCAAGACAGGGACCATCTAGCTGAACCTGCCTGAGCCTTACAATCCTCTGAGGAGACCCTGGTTCATGTACCTGCCACTAAGGGCCATCAAGTTGCAGGCAGGAATGACAAAGCTTTTTTGATGGTGGAGCTCCCTTCCTAGAAAGTGCATCTGGCTCCCTCTGTGACCTTCTGAATGCAGTTAACTGGGCACGGTTTTAATTGATGTTGGTCAGTAGTTGGTGGTGGCTACTATTACTGGTGCTGTATGCTCTAAAAAATCAATATATTTATGTTTAATTTTGTGAGTTGCTATGGAGGACTTACTGCCTAGAAAGGCAATATATAAATAAATAAAGCAAGGAAATAAAGAGGAAGATTAGAGGGAAAGAGTCCTATCCTGCCCCCTAGTTCCATTCCAGAAGGGTGATAAATACTATTTCAAGCTGCTGTTTGCAGTATTAAAACTAGTTACAAAATTAAAGTGGGGTGTTTGTGTGGGGGGATGCAGGCTGCCCATTCTGCTGCCATTAATACAGACCTCTGGTCCATAGATATGTTGCTGGAACGATGCAACCCCCCCCCCCCCCGAAGGAGTCTGCACGTAAAGCAGTGTCCCTCCCCTCCCCTCCCCTCCCCGCAACTACCCTCCCCTCCGTCAGCAATGCAGGAAAATACACAGAGGCTTTTTATTGAAGCGATGGGTCTGTATCCAGGATGCAAGTTAAGGCAACTGCGGCACTAGGGCAGACAGCCGTGCTGGCGCTGTGGGCCACCACCACCCCGGCCGCTCAGAGGAAGAAGAAGTGACTCCTGAGCAAGTTAGCATGCAACTAGAAACCAACACTGGTGCTTTGTCACACCTTCCCAGGATCTTCCTTCAGGGTCACCGTCCGATTGAACACAAGCTGCAGAAGAAGTGAGTGGCATTAAGAGGTGCCCCTTGCCATCCAGTTCCTTCTCTGCCACCCCATTTTACAGCACCCCCCACCCCTCTAACCTAGACAGACAGAAGGTACTAGGTTGGAGAAGGCTGCTAAACCTTAAAGCAGCCTTCCCCAAACTGATGCCTTCCAGATGCACTGGACTACAGTTCCCATTATTCTCAGCCCACACAGTCAATGGCTTTGATGGCTGGGAATTACAGGTGTTGAAGCCCAATGGACCTGGAGGGTACCAGGGTGAGAAAGGAAAATACCCTTCTAGGTCCTGCATGTTTTCTCAACTCACCTTTGCATCTGTGCTGTCAGGATCTACGGAGAAATAGCCAAGCCGCTCAAACTGGAACTTGTCAAATGGCTTGGCCCCACACACAGATCTGTCCACCAGAGCCTCCTCAATCACATGGAGTGAGTTCTGGGATGGAAATGAAATTTAGGATGGGGATGAATTAAAACACAGCAGTAGTACTTCTCCTCACAGATGGGCTTGTTGAAAGTTCCTCACTCGCACAGATTAAAATAGGCAATGGCATTTCTCCCACTCATAACTCCCAGCACACACCCTCCTACCTGTCTGCATCTGTATTTGGGTGGCAAAGACACACCTCTGAATCAGCATGGACATGGATGCATGCAAGGTCATCCTGATCAGACTGATTCACAATACCTTCCCCTCCCAACTAGAAAGACTTGGACCAAATGCAATGCCCCCATCCACCCACACACCCTTTCCAAAGACAGTCAGTCTCTGCCTCCATATTCCTGCCCCTCCCAGTCCAAGGCATGGAAAGCCTCTGCTGGGCCTAAAACTCACAGGGTTGATATCGCTCAGGAAGCCACCTGGTACTTCTGTGGAGTCTTCAGGATTCTTGTGCAGGAACCTGCAAAGGTTTAAATCACAGATAGATGGGTGCTGGGTTCCTGGAATGGATGAATGGAGATTACTACATGATGGCATCTCCTAAATATGGCTCTCCCAGAAGTCTTCTCTAAACTTCTAATGAACTAGCTGAGTCCATCCTGGCTTGATGTCACGTGTACCATGGTCTCACACAGAGACATCAAGACCAAGTCACTTCACCAGCTGAAGCAAGCCCAGCCTCACAATGGTCTAACACATGTTCACTGAAGTCTTCTCAGCATCCACCTTGGCAGGAAGGATGTAAAAAGGCTACTGTCTCAGGGAGAAGATCCCCTTTTGCAGCAGGGCAACCGAAATAAATGCTGTGCATTCAGTCCCCAGTTAGGTTTTATATGGAAGAAGGAACAGAAACACCCTTCAGAAGGTAATCAGTTTGGTCTCCAGCCAAGACCAGCAAATGAAGCACAACCTGCCTTCCCATAAACAGCTACACTATGGGGATGCACATGGGTGTGTAGTGGCGGGTGTGTATGGTGGCTGATCATCCCACTTAGTGTATTGTGCAAGGGCTGCATACAGACAGGAATCTTCCCAAACCACCGACTTGCAGGGTGGGTCCAACTTGCCATGACTTCCCCCACTAGTCTCCCTGCTGCTTGAGGTCACTCACAGCAGTCCATACCCAAATACTCACAGCCGCTCATACTGTCGAACCTCACACACGAGGGGATCTGACACCCAGTGGATAAAGGCTTTGGGCTTCTCTGCTGCCTCTGATTTTGTGCAGCTGACCACCAGCTCTCGTACATGTCCGTCTGTGTCCTAGGCATCAATTCAGAAGTCAGCTCCATGGGGCCTCCTAGTTGCTTGGACATCTTCGTGTATCTAAAGCACACAATCGCTTTTCTCCCCCCAGAATCCCTGTGTAGTAAGGGAACACTGTCTTTTTCGTTCAGTGGGGTGAGCTGCCTTTCTTCTGCTCAACACAAAGGAAAAGCAGGAGCATTTTCCAGAATGAATGTGCCACATCCACTGCTGCCAATGTGGGCACTCTTGTCCAGCGACTGCATACCCCCAGCTCCACAAAACCTTATCTGAAGCCCCCAGAAGTACCTCGCAATCACTTCTCGTTTACTAACTAGCTATGAGGCCAGTTTCAGAGATGTTAAGAATTATTTTTCCCTATCCACATCCATCCCCAGGCAACGCATTTTGTCTGTTCTTGAAATCTTAGAATCGTTAAAGGACTCTGGTTGCTTAACAGCTGCAGGAAGACCTCTAAACTAAATCTGAATTGACCTGGTACACATAAACTATCAGTTCACCCATGTTCTGCTCAAGAGACATGGCCCTTTCCAACACAAAATTAAAGACTCTGGCTTTCCCCAACCTGATGCTCTCCAAATGTGTTGGATTACAACTTGCACTATCCTCACCAACATGGCCACTAGTGATTATGGGAGATGTCGTTCAATACATCTGAAAAATACCATGTTGGGGAAGGTTAAAATACTGTTATAAATGGGAAACCCTTTAAGAACAACTGCATTAAAATTACAGCGCAGCTGGAGCTAAGAAACAGATTGATCAGTGTACTAAACAATACAAAACATGCGATTATCATTTTGCAACATGCTCCTCTCCCCTCCTCTCGCCAATGGGCTTATAAACCATCAACAAAGCCACAGCCTGGGCTTATCATGTCGTCTGAACCCGGATGGCCAAAGTGCTACTAAGCTGCTTGGCAAGAACAGTAAAAAAGGTTTGCCATTGTGGTCGAGTGGCTCTGGGCGAGCATAGATGATAACTGCCCCCAAGTGCCCGAACGGCACTTGGGAACAACTGTCAGAAGCTTCTTGCCACCACAGCTCAGCATCTCCCGCCTCTCCACCATCACCACCACCGCAGTGCCAGAAAGCGGCAAGCAGAACCCCGGCACGACCCTGCTCCAGCAAGCGGCAGCACAACCACCAGGCTGCGCGGGAATGAGCTGCATTTTGACTGGCCTCCTCGAGCAGAGGCCGAGCTGAACGCGGCTCATTCATCCTATCCATGCTCCTGCTGATCCCAGCAGAGGTGATGTTCCTTCCTATCTGGTGTCACCACTGCTCGATGGTGATGGCAGGAGGTGGAGGCAGTCTGCGGAGGCCGCAGCCTGTTCCTCCTGCAGACAGAAGCCGTATCACAGGAGAGCACTGCCGCCGACCCCCCCAGAGGTGGCTCAAACAAGCTGCCTCTGCCAAAGCTGGCGGCAGCACTGACAGAGCTGGCGAGGTTCATGGGCGAGGGCTGCCGGCAATCCCTCAGTGCTCCCAAAGTGTCCTCCAGGATACCCGTGCGAGGACTGAGGTGGGGAGCACAGGGAGGAGTTGCCCCAGGATGCCCCAGTGCCCAGTGATGTGTCAGGTACAAGAGAGGACCCAGTCAAAGCAGCAGCATGGACTGACTTATAAGTCAGCTCAGGCCTACAGTTTTGTGCCCTCCCACCAAGTGGCTGGAGAACTGGAGGAAAGACGTAGCAGAACAAGGAATGGTTCTAGGACTGTCCTCACTCAGTTGCAAATGTAGTAGCTGGAAGAAGCCGTGAGGCTGACTGAAGCGGAGCACCGTAGTGGTACTTGCTTTCAACAGAGCTCTTACCAAGGCCAGGGTGAGCAACCTGCGGCTTTCTCAATGCTTCAGCCCACAGCTCCCATCATCTTACACCATGCCTATGCTGGCAAGGGCTGACGGGAATTGTAGGCCAATGCATCTGGAAAGCCACCTGTTGCCCAGCCCTGTCTGAGGCCCCAGCCTACAAACAGGGAAACAGAACAGACAGTGTAGGCTGTTCGCAGGACACACTCACTTTAACGATGTTCTGGACAGCAATGACGTAGCCAGTGTGCCTCAGACCCACGGGCTGCCCAGGTGCCAGGCGCTTGTAGCCTTTCTCTGGTACCTGGCATTGAAGAGACACCGACATCAGTGGAATCCAAATGGATGGATAGGTCTACTTAATCAACTAGTACACAGACATGCAAAAAGACCCACTAAGTTACAGATGTACATATAACACTTACTGGACAGTACTGAGATAAATCTGTACCTCACATGCAGCATTATTTAAATCACTGGTCCCAAAAACTTTTCATGAGGCCACCCCTTCTTCTTGGGAGACTAGCCTAGTGCTCCCACACCTTTCCTCCTGCATTAGGTCCATTGCTTTACTGAGAATTTAAAACAACCACTCACCACCCCCTGGATCTTTCCACTGCCCCGGGGGGTGGTACCATCCACTTTGGGAACCACTGGATCAGACCAATGGGGATTGTCACTCAGGTTTTATGAGCAAAGCACAGCCAAAATGGGAGGCAGATGAGCAATAAAGAGTGCAGGAGTAGAGGGAAACCCAATACCCTTTAGAAGCTTCAGACTACAGTTCCCATAATCCCTGAATGTTCCCCATATTGACTGGGGCTTATAGGAGCTATCATCCAAAACATCTGTAAGGCACTAGGTTGAACCTGGAGTTAACAATCTTGCATAGTTTTGTCAACTGCCCAAAGAGTATCAACTAATGGCTTGGTATAGCAATGTATTTAATTCATTATACATAGTTTGTGCAGGAAAACTGGAGAGAGGCCTATCTGGGAAAGGCTCCTTTACGGATTGTAAGTGCAAAGCTCTCATTTAAAATATAAGGCCTTTTTTTTCCTTCAAGGAGAAGTATGACAAGGGAACCAACTTCCTGCCGTGTGGGGGGTTCCTGGTGCCCGTGCTGGAGGATTTCAGGCAGGAGCTGCACAAACACTGGTCAGCCCTGCTGTGGCTCGGGATTCCCTGCATTCAGCCAGGATGCTCAGCTTCTGTGATGCCAGCATAATCCTGATGCCCTGGTTCAAGGCCAAGAGATGTGGTCACAGGGAGCACTTCCAGGATCTGGGAGCCACTGTCAGCTCCAAATAGAGTACAAACTGCAGAAGCCAACACTTCAGCAAAGGGAAGGGATTTGATCTGCAATGCAGGCATGGTGCTCATCCAGAGAATACGAAAGCTACACGCAGTTGCAGAGAGAAGTTCAAATGGGGCTGCAAGCAGGAGCACGTCACACGCCCAGCACTTCAAAATCCTAGAGCTGGATGAGGCCTGCCCAACTGATGATCACAGACAGTGCCTACAGTTCTGCAGTGGCTCCCTGCTGGAACCCGAGTTTCAGGCCCGGAAAACCTGGATGTCCGCTTTCTTCTCTCCCACAAGGTGTTGCCATCATCCCTTCCCCCGCAGACTCACCTCCCGGAAGTCGCTCTGCTCAATGTAGACAATGGGCTGGAAGGGGACTTTGTGGACACCTTTGGTCTCATCTGCAGGGAAATTGGGGACGAGGACGTCTATGGTCTGAAACGAAGAGAGAGGCATCTGTGGGGACTCTACGCCTGCCAACAAAGAGGTGGGGCAGGGGAGCCGCAGCATGTCTTCCAGCCCCCGCCAAAGGTCACGGGCTTACTTTTTGCGATGCAGGAAAGTTGGCGATTGTCACCCGCAGCGGCTCTAGCACAGCCATGACACGCGGTGCCTGCTCGTTCAGCACGTCCCGCACGCAGGCCTCCAGCATGTGGGGCTCCATGGTGCACTGGGCCACCGTCACGCCCACCTGTCGGGAACTTGGGGTCAGCCAAATTTTGCAGGGCCATCAGAAAGAAACCGCATTTCATGGAGGATGAGGCTACTGGTCAGGATACCTCCACCGTCAGAGGCAGGAGACCTCTGGACACCAGTTGCTGGGGCACATGGGTGGCAGGGGGCTGTTGCACCCAGGTCCCGACTGGAGATCTCCTATTACGGCAACTGGCTGGCCTCTGTGAGAACAGAATGCTGGCCTAGAAGGACCCTTGGCCTGGTCCAGCAGAACTTCCTATGCCCTTCCTAGCTCTGTGGGGAGGTTCCTGGTCCCTGCTCAACTGGGGCAGACACCTGAGGTTTCCCAGGGGCTTAGTACCTGCAACGAGCTCTTCAGGCCAGGCTCAGGCACAGAACCGTTTTTTTTTTCTGTCAAGGATCACATTCCTTACGGCACCTGTGGCTCTCCAATTCTTACTGGACTTCATCTCCCATCATCCCTGACCATGCTGGCTGGGTTTGATGCAAGTTGGGGTCCAGCAACATCTGGAAGGGTCTATGTCCTCACCTCTGCCCTGGGGGTGATTTGTCTAGGGCAACATGTCAGCGGTGAATGCAGTCAACCCCTCCCCCCCCACACACACTTTTGGCCAAGACGCCCTTCTCTCTCTACTTCCCGGTGGAGCTGCCCAGGGAGGGACAGAGAACTGATCCCTTGCAGTGGACGTCTTCAGTTGGCCACAAAGGGCCCTCATGTTCTAGGGCCACCAAACTCTGTGCAGGGCAGAAATAACGCTCCCGCGCCTTCCGGTGCATCCCGTGGCTCATGCCATACCCCGGCACGACAGCGCTGCTCAAGCGCCACGGTCCACACAAACCAGGGACAGGGCCTGCCTCTGCCACCAAGAAGGTGTCCTAACATATTCAGGCATCCCCCAAGCTGAACCAGCCCTGAACCCTGCCAGAGGGGTCTTTACCCGAGCGCAAAAGTTGTTGATTGCCTCTGGGGGAAAGCCTCGGCGCCGCAGAGCCGTCAATGTGAAGAGCCGAGGGTCGTCCCAGTCCCTGAAATTGCAATGTCAGCAGTGAGCCGAAAGCGGCCGAGCCCTTCTCAGGAGCATCTGTGCCCAGTTCTGCTCCCCGCACACCCCACAGAGCCCATCCAGCTTCCTACCTGACTGCTCCTGTCTCAACCAGGCGGATGATCTTCCGTTTGGAGACCACCGTATACAGAAGATTGAGGCGCCCGTACTCCCACTGCACGGGGCAGTACACGTCCAGGGCATTGCAGAGCCAGAAGTAGGAGGAGCGTCTGCCAAGAGAGGGGAGAGCAGCGTCTCTCAGAGCACGCACAACGGGGAGAGCAGAGCACCATCTCAGGCTGACATGTGCTCAGCATTTGAGCATCTTCAGTTTTGCAGAGTTTATTTGGCTTGCACAAGCGATGTGTTTTCAAGCGACAGAGAAGGGCGACAAAAATGACCAAGGGGCTAGGGCAGCTCCTCTATAAGGAGCGACTACAACTGGGGCTGTTCAGCTTAGAAAAAAGCCGAGTAAGGGGAGACCTGGTGGAGGTGTTTAAAACAATGCATGGTGTGGAGAAAGTAGAGGGGGAGGCATTTTTCTCCCTCTTCCATAACATTTGAACCTGGGCCATCAGGACAGATAAAAGGAAGGACTTCTTCACACAGCATGTAGCTAAGCTATGGAATTGGCTGCCACAGGAAGTGGTGATGGCACCCATCTGAATGGCTTTGAAAGGGATTGGACAGATTCATGAGGGAGGAGGCCATTCGTGGCCTTGCTGGCTATGTGCTTCCTCCTTGGCATGCCCACAGACGCCGGTTGCTTGAGCAGGAGAAGTTCTTGCACCTGTCCTGCTTGAAGGGTCCTGTGGGCGACTGGCTGCCACCATGTGCACAGTGCTGGACTAGAGAGACCTTGGGGCTGATCCAGCACTGCTTTTCTTATGTTCCAACCAAAGCCCCGTTTGGCCTTGTGAACATTCACTGCTAAAGCTGAGATCGGACTGTGTATCAGCAAACTACATCCATGTTGTATCTATAGTTAAATACGGGAAAGGATACACAGCTGTTCATGTTTATTTTCTACCAGTAGTTATGCAAGGACATTTTGAAAACACCCCACTTGCTGTAAGGTTGTGTCTTTGTCAGTCAGGACAGATTGAAATACTTGAACATGTTTTACTAGAATGTAGTTTTATAATAATATTAGGGCCTATTTTAAAATCTTGCTATTTATTTTGCTTCCTGGAAGGACAATGTGTTTCATGTTTCACATCTGTTTGCTGATATAAATAAAAGTGAAAGAACAAACAGCAAAATATCTTCCTGAAGCTATTCAGAAGAGGTTGCAAATTAAGGGCTGTTAGCAAACGTTATTAGGAGACAAATTCTATGTATTCATTTTTATGTTGTACATATATATATATATTTATTAACTCTTTTAGCATGGACTCATATTCTATTGTGTTGTTTTACTCAACTTCTTACCTAACATATTTCACAACTCCTTTTTATTGTTTTAATAATGAAATTGTTTTAACATTTAATAAATATCTCAACAATTACGGTTCTATGTATCAATGTGGAAAGGTTTCTAGACCAAATAAATACTTCAGTGATGAAAAAAAGGTACTTGGCCAAGAGCAGGACTGCAGAAATGAATGTGGGATGGACAGAGACTTGTTCAATTGCTTTTCTCTTAACCAAGAGGACTAGAGGTCTGCCTTTCATTTGAGAGGAAAATCAGAATTCTAAGGACACCAGATTTCATATCCAACAGTACAAGGATGGGCAACTTGGCGCCCTCCAGATACTGTAAGCTTCAATTCCCATCAGAGCTTGCCAAGAGTCATTGTGAGGCATGATGGGAATTTTAGGCCAAAGCATTTGAATGCTGCCTGTTCCTGAAATTGATTCTGAATCCATATGCCCTCCTTTTTGTCCAAAAGGAACACAGAATGGCTTGTGCCATGAATAAAACAAGTGCCAATAAAACAACGCAAGTCATATTATTACACAAAAACAATTAGATTGCAAGAAGCAGAATCTAACTGATAAACACCAAAGCCAGCAAATAGGAAGCCAATGCTTGTGTAAATAAAAAAAGGCATTTCACCTACATTTAAAAGGAATCAGAGTGCGAGAATAGATTTTGTTCCTACATAAGGAACTGAAGCTTCCCAAATTGGTGCCCATTGTTCTCCAGAGAACCTGTGGTTCTCCAGACATTTTCTCTTTTGTATATTTTTTAATGTTAATATTGTGAGCTGCCCAAGTTCCAATCCCTGGAAATAGGTGGGATATAAATAAATAGAATGAATTGGTAGACTACAGCTTCCATCATCCCTAACCACTGGCTGGAGCTGACGAGAGCTGGGTGTTGAGCATCATTAATAGGGCCAGAGCTTGCCCAAACCTGGGATAAGGGATTCCCCAACAGGCTGGAGCCGGACTCTCTCCCCCCCGCCCCCGCCCCAATAGGACAGCAAAGGTCCCTCACCTGGCTTGGAATTCTTTGGTGCAGAGCGAGTGAGTGATGTGCTCCAGGGAGTCACAGAGGCAGTGTGTGTAGTCATAGGTGGGGTAGATACACCTGCAATGCCAGAGGTAGCCAAGAGGTCAAATCTCCAGAACCATCAGTGACCTGAACCTACCAGCATCCGCTGCCTCCCTATTGCTGTCCCCTTTTCCAGGATTCCCCACAAGCGGCCCCCTCCCTCCAGAACGCTCTCGGACTTCCTCACCACCTCACTGCCTGCTGCACGCAGACGCACACCCTTGCCTCCTTTTAAGGCGGCTTGGACGCCCAGCCCATTCGCGTGAGGAGCACGGAGGAGGACAGCTGCAAGGGGACAACACCCCCACCCATTCTAGCCTGAGGAACACTTCTAAGCCACCACCTCAAAGACCCAGCACGTGGCACACCCACCCCAACAGAAAACGTGGGCAAGGAACCCCTTCTCTCTCCCTGTTTCTGCCTCCTTCCAGTCCAACAAGGCACCCCTCCGTGTGTAATCCCAACCCCATCCAACACAGCTGGAATGCCTTCAGGCAGCCACCACGTACCATTTATCCCCCGTGCGGTGGTGGGGTGTGTATTTGATGCGATAAGCAACAGGGTCCATCTTGCCATCCTCCATCACCAGTTTCATGCGCAGCGTGGCCTCCCCTTCCTCAAACTTGCCTTTGCGCATGTCCTGCAGAGACAGAAGGGGCACTGGAACAATGAACCGGAAAAGCTTGCTATGGGGTGATGCCACCGCCTCCACTGCTTCTCCAACAGGAGCAAGTACAGCAGAGGTCTTGAACCTCTTTCAGCCGAAGGTCTGAACTCCACTGGAAGAAACTCTTGGAGCCTCATTCCAGGGGTGAGTGGGTGCAAATTCAAATGTGTTAAACCAAAATACAAAAACTACCAGCCCGATTTATCTTAAAGGTCTTACTGATGGGAATTTAGGAGACTTTCAATCTTTTAGATTGGGGAAAAAACTGCACAGGATCCAGGAAATCATCTAATGACTGGCAGTTAGAGAAATGGGTTACAGTCAGCACAAGAGGCATGACTCTGGTTTTTGGCCCACAGGCCAAGGTTTTGCAGCTTGCAAGAAAGGCAGCCCCGAATATTCTGTGCAACAAAGCCCAACCAACCACAGCAGGCGTGCCATGGCTGCATCAGCAAAATCTCAAGTGTGCAATCACTGACTTCAAAGAAAATGGTACTTTGGGACAGGAACTGTCAAAAGGAAATGGATGGAGAAGTAAAGAACAGAAATTAAGACAAGGGTCAAGAAATGAAAGTGGAAAAGAAAAGTGTACAAAATTATGCCCTGGTCACCCGTTCCACTGTATGAGTCTTGAGTAATAAATGCAGAAGTAACCATGAGAGCTAGAATCTTGTTATCTTAAAAGAAATTAAAGCAGCCAAGAAGCTGAGAAGGCTGAATTCCAGGCACGCAGAGACATGCAGCCACAACGGCAGTGGGCAATGCTGGAAGTCTTGGATCTGTTCCAGGAAGAACTGCGGGCTGTTATGTTTTCATTCTGCGGAAACAGCTGCCTTAAACGGCTGACGCAAAATGGTAGTACCTCAAAAAGCAGAAGTGATTCTTCAACTGGCCGGTCCCTCCATGGGGAAATGGGCGGGTTGTGCCCTTTGATTTCATCCACCTTCTGGTGGCAAATGTAAGCATGGCCTCTGAGGAGGGAAGAGAGATCAGCCACCAAGCAAGAGTCAGGCTCGAGCTGTGGTGCAATGCCGCCAACCCTCCTCCCCGCAACCTTCCCTGGAAGACTCCGACCGTTGGCGCTCTGGGGACTTGCACACAGGGAATGGGACAGGCGCCTTCCCCAGGATCCTCAGTGCATCTCCACCCTCCTCACCTCCGGATGAGATCCACAGCCATGGTGTACAACTGGTCAAAGTAGTCGGAGGCATGCGTCACTGCAAAAGGAGTGTATCCTGGGGGAAAGCAAGGCCTGATCATGAGAAGGGGGCCCTTTCGTGCCATCCTTCGGTCACTCCCCACGATCACACTCAAGGCCGCATCGAGGGCACGATTTTGTTTTAGAGATGCCTGACCTGCCGCTGCAGAGATGCTGCTCTGACAAGCCAGCTCACACTGTTATGAAAACATGAGCATATAATCACAAATAAGCATACGGACAGCAGCTGCAGCGAATGAATTTAATGCACCAAATGCAGGCTGGAATGTAGGGCTCTTCAGATTTTTTTTTCTTTTAATTTTTGAAAGAGAGGTTCGGGAGGGGGGCTATTTTTTGGGAGGGGAGCAAGTAGCAGCCTCCTCAACCCCACCTCAAGCTCTTAGGAAAAATCCCCAAAGGGCCCTCGTGAAGAAGTCGTCTGCACACACAAGGGCTGTCCATCTCCCCTCCTGCGGCACTCTCACTCCATGCCATGGTGATGGTAACAACTGGCTTACAAAGAGGGCTCACATCGTCTTCCTCCGCTCCACTTTCCCCTCACAACAACAACTCTGTGAGGCGGGTTAGGCCATGAGTCCACAACTGGCCCAAAGTCACCCAAGTGAGCTTCATGGGCCAGAACCCTGGTCCCCAGGCCAACACCACCGCACCACACCAGCTCTCAGCGATGCACCACACACTCGCCCAACAGGGAACTGAGGAAGACCAGGGCCCTTCTTCCTCATCCCTCCATCCACCATCTCAGCCCGCCAAGCCTCACGAGCACATACCTAACCATTCCACAATGTCACGGATGCCCGTAAAATACTTCTCCTCCTCCTTTTCGGGATTGGTGTCATCATAGCGCAGGAAGCAAACTCCATCGTTTGCCTGGGGTGGGGGTGGGAAATAAAGCTGCAGGATCACCCCACCCTCCAGTGCAACAAGGAGCCTCCTTCCCCTCCCACCCACACATGCCAAGGGAAAGCTGGGGAGATGGTTCCCTGGCAACATGTGACTTGCTGCTATGGAGTCCTCCAAGGAACCCCCAGCCCACAGTTCAAGCATGGACATCAGCAAGACAGAGCGTGGGGAGAGGCCCGAGACTCCTACCTTGGCAAATCCAAAGTTGAAATTGATGGCTTTGGCATGCCCAATGTGCAGAATGCCGTTGGGCTCAGGAGGGAATCGGGTGCGCACCTGGGGCAGAAGACATTACAACCGTGTTCACCACGATTCCCTACCCCTGACTTAAAGACATCTGAAATACAATGCAGAGGCACATCGCGAGAGGCTTGGCAGGGGTTCTCAAGCGTTCGACGCGTAAGCACAGCTGTGCTGGATCGCACCCTCCAGCCCAGCATTCCGTTCACCCAGGGACCAACCACAGGAAACCCACAGGCAGGACAGGAGTCTGGCAGAACCTTCCCCCCGTGCGCCCAGCAACCGGCTCACACAGCAAGGCTGCCTCTGAGGCCAGGACTAATGACCTCCAACAGCCTCCTTCTCCACGTATTTGTCCAATCCCCTTTTAAAGCCATCCAAAGCGGTGGCCATCACTGCGTCTTGTGAAAGCTGATGCCACCGTTTCACTGTGTAACATGTGAAGAGCAAAATCCAGCTCATGACACCTTGGCTGTGTCACTTTCCTTACTCTGGGCATCACACACGTATGCAAGGCGAAAAGAGACAGAAATACGTTGTCCATGAAGCTTCACTTGCAAACCCTAAAGGGATCGTACCCCTCGCTTTAGATATTAACATTCTGTCTCTAGAAATTTTGAACACTGGCTTGGAACCAAGTTTGTGCCGGCTAACTCTGCTGGCAGAACTGGACTGCCTTGACCCTCCTTTCACAGGGCTTAAGAGACTCCCGGGTGACCCAGGCCAGTGGGTACCTGAACCCTGCCTTCCCAATTCAGAGGACGGGAAAAGATCTGCCCTCAAAGCACCTGCCCGCCTGTGATTTCCAGGTGTTGCTTCAGGAGGTTCATCGTGTTGGGTGTGACAACGTAGCCTTCGGTTTTGTAGTTCTCACCTGGAGAGGCAAAGAGCATGTCAGCACACAGGACAGAGATGAGTGACCCCAGAATTCTTCTGCAGTAAAAATCCCAATTTCTGAGCCAGAAAATAAACCTGAATTACAGAATTGTTGTACTTTAAAAACTGTCCAATCAGCATGCTTCATTCACTGTCAATCTTCACTGCTTGTGGCTCAATCTGTGAGGCTTGGCAAAGAAATAGCGACTTCACCAACCCCTTTCTCTCACCCTGGCTGCTCCCCATTCTGGAGTTGGGTTGCACTGCTGGGGTGTCACCTGTTGGCTACAGAGGCAGAGCTTCACCTACAGAGAAGCTTAGCACCAGCACCAACAGACTGAGACAGGCAATTCAGGCAAAAGGCAGGGAAGAGCAGTGAACTGTGCTTCTCCCGCTCCCCCACCCGGAGAGCCACCTCTTGGGGGAAGCTTACCTGGCTTATGGAATCGGAGTGCTTCGCCTCTCAGCTGCTCCAGAAGGGGCTTTGTCTCTTGGAACACAGCTCCTGTGGAGAGACCGCCTGGCTCAGGACTCCCGCGGGAGGGAAGCCAGAGAAGCAAGAAGTGGACCTGGCAGAGCATCCCCCTCCCTGCAACATCTGAGCTTACTGGCTTCCCCTGCTACCTCTGCTGAACTTTAGCCTGTAAGCTCTTGAAGACGGGGGCCTGCCTTTTTTGTTTGCTGATCTATGTTAATAACATGCTATGTATTATTATTGATATTAACAAATGTATTGGCGTGATGGTGATGATAGAATAGTAATAATAAAAGCATCTACTCCTACCACTAACAAACAATTATTGAACAAACCCAATTACTGTTACTATTTCTTCCATGATGATCCATGACAATTATAATGCAGAACAGAATGCCAACACTCAGAATGAAGAGACTACCCGGACCAAAAGTGAGGCTTCCAACAGAATCTCACAGCTTAAACCCTTCCAGCTGCTTACAAGCTACAAGCAAGCTATGGCCTGGATGACAGGCGAGGCCTAAAGTCACAAGCTGCTGATGCAGGAGGGACTGCTCAGTGCCCAAACAAGAAGCTACCTGATCCCAAGACAGACCCTTGGTCTCTTCCAGCCAGCGCTGCCTGAGCCTGCCTCTCCCAACCTGGTACCCGCCAAGTGTGTTGGGACTACGCCTTATAATCCCCACTCGGTTCAGGGACTGTGGAAGCTGCAGCCCAACGCTCCCCCCTAGAGCTCAAGAATTCCTCAAGAATCCTCAAGAATCCTCTGCATTCCCCCTCCGAGGTCCTCTCTGCCACGGAAGGAAGAGAGCCATAAAAGCAACACAGTGACAAGAGAGAAAATAAGCCGCCCATCTTTGCCTGCCTTTGCCTGCCTGCAGTTACATGCAGCCTCGGACTGTTGCCACAGTTAACTACACACTGGCCCCCAGTCTTCACGAGGGCACTTCAGATCTCAGTCGCAGTTTAGGAATTGGTGGTTGCAGCACGTAAGAGGAATTTCCCAAGTCAGGAAAAAATGAATAAACAAAAAGGTGAGGAGAAAAACTGGGAGGGGGGAGAGAGAGAGAGGTGCCAACCAATCCACCCCACTAGCGCCAAGTGTCCTCCACCAAGAGGGCAGGTGGGTGCTGGTGGGGCAACAGAACTGCGTGTGGCCCAGGAAGGCAAGGGAGACTCCAGAGTGGCTACAGAGCTGCATGTGCTCTAAAGGCAGCCAGTGTAGCACAGGGGCTAGAATGCTGGACTGGAACTCAGGAGACCCGGGTTCGAGTCCCCACTTGGCCGCAAAGCTCACCGAGTGACTTTGGGCCAGCTGCTGGTTCTCAGTGTAATTTACCTCACAGGGCTGTTGTGTGGATAAAATGAAGGGGAGGAGGATTATGTAAACCACCTTGGGTTCCTTGCAAGAGGGAAGTAGAATACTGATATAATAAATCATCATAATAAATGGAGCAAGCAAGGGAGACTGTCAGGAAAGTCCTTACCATTTTCCACCACAGCTGCCTTCCCTTTCTTCTCTGGCTCTGCCACACGAGACTTTGCGCCCTGAAGAGAAAATAAGGAGCAGCCACAGGTCCCAGTGAGAGAGTGTGGCACCTTTCCACAGGATCTCCCATTTCAAAAGTTACGCAGAACTTCTCTCTGTGCTCAGCCTGCAGCTCTGTGGGCATCACAGGCATCCTTCTTTTGCCCTGGGCCCCACAGGCAGTGGCCCAGGTGCAGTGAATGGGCCCCCCCTTTACTGCAGCCCCAGAGAACCCCTTGCTGCTTTTCTCCCAGGACTCTCAAGCGTGGGAAGCCCCCAAGAGTGGATCCTGCAGAAATTCCCTCCAGTCCCCATGGATACAAGCTCTCCTTGTACACGATACTACTCAGCAACTTTACACATGCACTCTGCCGATTTTCGAATTTTCTCTTTTTCCCCATAACGAGTCTATGCTGCCCTGGGCAGCATTCCAAGCACCCTCTGCTGACCCCTTCTGGCCAGCCTAGGATCAGCACGTATGAACTGTAAAAGAAAGCAGCAGCAGAATGCGAAGCAGCGGGACCGGCGACAGGCGACAGAGTGGCGCAGGGTGGGATGCGCCTACTCACTGTTCCAGTCAGCTACCTGTGACCCCTATGATGCACCGCCCTAGTCCTCTTCCGTGTAGCTTTGTTCCTACCCTGCAAGAGTCAGTTTGCCTTTTGCAGCCGCTGAACATGCTCGCTCTGTATCGGGGCATTTTAGGAGTTCCTTCGTTAAGCTTGCCCGCCCCCACCCCCCGCAGTACATTTTTGTACTTTTGTAAAACTTGTAGCTCCCACAAGCCTGTGACTGCACAGGTACCGCTGTTTTGGTTACAAAACTAGCAGCACTGGCAAACCTGAACTTTAGAAACACAGGGAGTAATTTCAGGAAACGAAAACAACATTAAGAATGTAAATTGGAACTTTTTCCTCTTTTATAATATAGAGTGCATGAGAAAGTCATTTTGGAAGCTTTTTAATATTTAGAAGTACTTTTGTTCGTGAGGTAATTGTTATTTTACAAATAATTATGCATTAATGTTTTTTTAAATGAGAAAAATATTTACATACACACGCATACATGCACAGCAAAAGAGGAGAGCAGATGGATTGAAGAGAAGTGAAAAGACTAGTTGGCTACAGCAATTTACTACAACAATTTAAGGTGCACGTTTCCAACCTTTGTCCCAGAAAACCAGATCCCAAAGCCTAGTTACAATCCTTTGTGCCTCAGGTTTAAGTTAAACAGTGGAAGTCCTGACTTGCTATACCACAAATTTCCCTAATTTTTCACTATGCCTTTTGCAAATTGTGTAATGGCCTATGGCTAAATATAATGAGACTTGACTTTACTTAGTATACTGTTTTATTCCAGAAACAGAGACAGATGGACAAAAAGGCCAAAGAGGCAACACAGCAAGCATGGAGAGCTTCCAGCCCCCAGGACGCCCCCCTCGGCTTGCCATGCTTCTTCCCCCACCCCTGCAAGAAAGAGGAAAGGGCTTATCTTCCACCTGCAGCAGTTTGGAGAAAAGTCCCTTCCCCTTTTCGGCACCGGAAGGGGAAATCATCTGCCCTTCTCAGATGATTTGCATGAATCTGCTGAGGAGGTGGGGCTGCGAACTGTGAGTGAATGTGGGGTGTGAGTGAATGTGGGGAGGCAATGCCAGGTGTAGCTCCACCCGCATCAGGCAGTGCTCCCCCCCCCCCGGCCTGGACCCCCCCCCCCCCACTGTGCCTTCCGCATTCCATTCCAGGGATGGGCCCATCTGGACCTTGGGCTGCAAAGCAGTTTGTGGCCTGTGTGTTCTATTATGCTGCAGGGTCCCGGGGCAGGGCTGGGGAGAGGAGCCCCACGGCCCCTGAGGACTGCCAGCCAATGCAGGGGATGGGGGAAAGTCTGCCATCACCCCCATCCCCTGCTCAAGCACATGTGCTCCCGCCCCACGCACTGAGGCAGCTGAGGGGCCAGTGCAGGAGAGAGTCTCATCTCCCCTAGACCCAGCTGTGCCTCTTTCAGAGCAACTGCTGTGGGGCTGCTGATTTAGGATGGCCCCCTTGGGCCCCCCCCAACATGGCATGCACATAAGGTAGCCACCAGTGCACTCAGAGGAGAAAGGGAAAGACGCCAACGGTGCTACCTTAGGTTTCTTTTCCAGATCAGCTTCTGTCTTCGGGCCCAGTAAGTGGAGCACCTGCAGGCGAAGAAGGGAGATTGTGTGAGCACAGGGGGAAGGAGCTGGACAGAGGTGCTGGGTTTGGTCTGACTCTCCACAGCAGCTCCTTCAGCCAATGGCCGCAGCTCTCCTCCCCACCTCAAGCCGCAAGCACTCTTGCCTACGCCATGAGGACAAAGGGGGAGAGAAAGGGAGGGGCCAAAGCTCAGAAGTTGAGCACCTGCTTGGTAGGCGAGATGGCCCAGGTTCAGGAGGGAAAGACTACAGCCTGACGCCCTGGAGGGCCGTTGCTGCCACACAGTAACAGCAGTGCTGGGTGAGATGGACCTACAGGTGGACTCAGTATAAGGTAGCTGCTTACGTTCCCAAAACACACAGTTTTGGAAATCGCTCAGTGCATCTGCAGGGCCACAGGGTGCAGGCCGATGCTGTGACTGCTGCTTTTCCGTGGCATCCACACCAGAAGAGGAAGCCCTGGTTCAGCACTGGCCCAGGGGCAGGCCTCTGTGCATTCAGCACTGGTACCAAGCAGGTGTGCTGAAAGGCACTTGGTGTAGGATTCAGCATCATAGGAAATCCAAGATTCCTTCCTCCCTCCCTCCCTCCCTCCCTCCCTCCCTTCCATCCATCCATCCATCCATTCATGTTTCTAGCAAAAAAAAAAAGGGTTGAAAAGATATGGGCAGCACTGGTGAAGATTTCAGAAGCTGAAGGTGCTTCCTTGAGAGCCAGTGTGGCATAGTGGTTAAGAGCCTGGGACTGGGACTCGGACAATCTGGGTTCTAGTCCCCGCTCAGCCATGGAGCCAACTGGGTGACTTTGGGCCAGTCACAGACTCTCAGCCCAACCTACCTCACAGGGTGGTTGTTGTGGGGATAAGATGGAGGAGGAGATGTAAGCTGCCTTGAGCCCTTTGTAGGAAAAAGGCAGGATATAAACCAAAAAAATAAAATAAATAAAATAAAATAAAGGTGGTGGTCAACTTAAAAGGATTTGCAGTGGTCAGAGAAGAGGGTTTTAGCCTCTTACCCCTTCCTATGAATACCAGAAAATAGGAAAAACATGTACATGAAAATGTACGTATTATTTAACTCAAGCACAAGTCACATAATGCTATCAGTGTAGGATTTTCTTTTTAGGTACAGACACACCCCTAATGGTACTGAATTTATTCACTGATGTAATAACAGTTTAACCCTACTCCTCCTACAAGGATACTATGGGTGGCTTTCCCCACTCCATCTTTGCAACAACCACAGATTGGTAAGATAGTAGCATTGGAAGAGGCCCACAAGGCCACTGAATCCAACCCCCTGCTCAGTATAGGACTCCAAGTTAAAGCATCTCTGACCAGTGGCAGTCCAGCTGACTCTTGAATGCCTCCAGTGGTTGATTGGTTCCACTGCCATATTGTCGTAATAGTTAAGGAAACCTTGTGACTTTGGTTACATGGAGAGAATGTCACTGGTCCAAAGAGTGAGAATTTGAAGGTAGGTCTCTCCAGGCATGAGCTGACAGTCTTCGTCATGACATCACACTTCCTCTTTGGGGTACAGAATGTGTAGCTTGCCTTTAGAAGGCAGACTCTCTAGCTTGCAACAGACAATTCATAGCTCAGTGACAGGACACACACACTCCCAAGTTTGGTCCCCGGCATTTCCAGTGAGGGTGAGTGAGCAGATGATGGGAAAGAGCCCATCCTTGCCCAAGACCCTGGATGGCCCCTACCACTCAAAGAAAATAACACCGAGCGTGATGGACTTGGTCTGAAGGCAGTTTCCTATTTTAATTCTGCCGCAATGATCCAGCCAAATTCCACCCGCCTTCCCCAACCAGGTCCAGATGGGCAGGCCCCTGCCATACCTGCAAGTCCACTTCATTTTTAATGATTTTGCCATCTGCCCATTTTAACTTGCTCCGTGCCTCCCCTGCAAAAGAAAAAAGGAAAAGCACACAGTAATGGCTGCCAAGGCAATCTTCATCAGCTATGTCAGGCTGATCCTCTGGAATCCTCTTTTAGTAGGTACATGACTGTAAGTCATCTTGAGGGCCAGTTTCTTGACAGAAAGATGTGTTACAAAACAAATCAAAACAATCATTCGTGCAGCGCTAGCTGCTGTTGGATTCCAGCATGCCTAACACCTGTTGAAAAAGTACAGGTTGATGGGAACAAGTTGAAAAATTCTCCCTGGGTCTGAACCATGGCAAAATACTTGGCTCCTGATTTAGGTACAAACTTGGCACCCTGGCTCAGATGGCAATGCAAGTGAGTGCACTGAATAACCAACACTCTACGAGTCAATGCCTTTGGCATGAGAGCCCCCTGCATCCAAGAGTGCATGGAAGATGGGCATCAGCTCCGTGCTACTTTAGGAAAGGAAGGCTTTTGCACCCAAGGGACATAAGCAAAAGGACGCACCAACAATTCTTCCCCGGCTCAGGGCTTCCCCACAAAAGAATACACTTCTTCACACTGTGCATACTTTAGGTATGGGATTCACTGCCGTAAGATGTAGCAATAGCTATTGCTTAAGGTGCGGTCCTATGCAAGGTTAGGCAGAAATAGAGCCTACAACCTGAACGGGATCATACCCTCATTGTCTTCAGAAGGATGTTTTCAGGGCATGATGGCTTTTTACTAGCAGTCACATAAAGTTTATGCAACTGCCAGTAGCAGAGGCACGACCCCACTAAAAGTTGCTGGGGAACATGAGCAAGAGGGAGCGATTGCCTTCTTATCCTGCTTGTGGAATTCCCTCAGCGTCTGGCGGCCAATGTGTGAAAGACAATGCGGGATCAGCTGGACTCTGGGCCCGGTCCAGCAGAGATCGTTTTATCTTCACAGGAAGTCCAACATGTAAATTTGGTAAATGTGGCTGGTAAATTTTGCAAGAAAGAGCAGATCCTGAAATGGTGCCCAAGGCCAAGGTCCATGATGAATACAGCAATACCAGCAACAAGGAGACATCCCATTGTGGTATGCATTTCTGGCTTCCCTTCCCTAAAACATCTCTAGCCCTAGAACTTACCCATCAAAAGCCCCATGTTGAAGTGATAACGCTCTGAAAGGAGCTGGGCTTTGTGCTTGTTGAGAGCACCTTCTACCTAGAGACAGAAAGAAGTCCTAGTTTAAAACAGGGTGAAGTGGAATTTAAAGTTGAAGATCACAAGGCCTCAGTCCGGAGATATACCAGTGAGAGATCTATAAATATAGCAGACTTTTTGATTTTGCCTTTTTCCAAATAGCAGTAGCTCCTCCTTGCCAGGCCTCAACTGCTGCATAACTAGTTATAAATTTCCCTCCATTTAAAATGCATTTGACAAAATGGTACAGTGAAGACTGTTCAGGAAATAGAAACATGGAGAAAACACTACCACTTATGGGTAACTTGTTAAAATAGTGGTATTGTATAAAAGTTAAGCCCTTTTACAATCAAGGTTAACAGTTAATATATATTATGGCTATAATTTACATTTATAAAAGACCTACTGCGTTGTTATGTCATTGCTTGTACCTTAGCCATAAGACAACGGATGAGGTAATGTAACATTTCAGCTCAGCGATACATTAAAAGAGGGGCTTGGCAGACGCTGCTCTAACAGGAATTAAAACAACCTGATCTGCTCCAAATATTTTGGCCTGCAGCCTCTGTAATTTCTGGTCATCAGTCATGCTGGCTAGGGCTGATGGAGGAGCTAATCCAAATCATCTGGAGAACCCCGGGTTGCCTACCCCTCTGCCTTATAAGAAAGCTCGATTGCTGTGACTAATCCTGTCTTGGTTTTTTTTAAAAGCACACAGAGACATAGGTAGCTCAGCTGACAAGTGTGCAAACAAGCATGTGCCACTTCTGGGCTCTTCTAGGAGTTCACACTCACCGCTTCTTCAATCTGTTCTGGGGTTACCATCACACCAACACCACATTCTTTGTCAAAGTCTGCCACATCAATGGGGTCCCCAGGGTGGCTTTTAATGTAATCCAGAGCAGCTGCAAACAGAAAGAGTAAAGGTGGATTAGGAAGAGAGCCGGTGTGTTGCAGTGGTTAGAGCAGTCTTGCCAACCAGGCACCCTCCAGGTCTATCGGACTGCAATTCTCACAATCTGAGATATAAATAAAACACACACACAAACAAACAAATAAATGCAGGGACATTGGAGGTAAAGGAGCACATCTGGTCCTGCAAAACAAGTGCTCTTGGGAACAAGTGGTGGCAGAGTTTTTGCTTTATACTCCCCATTGTCAAATATGCAAGCTGAGCTCAGAAAAAAATATATTTTCTATGGGCAACTTTGGCAGGGTCTTGCCTTCCCTCAGGACACACTCTTGGCTCACATTCTTGTGACATATGGGCTCCTTCACTGAACCAATTTCAGATGCCTCCAACACTGGGGAGCCCTGAAGGGCAGTGCTTGGTTCCATGCAGCTTTACGCAAATCCTGCGGCTGTGGATTAAGCTCCAAGCAGAGAGCATCCCTTTAAAGAGCTAGGAAAGACAGTCTTGAGTTTTCTTACATTTGCCTTCCAGGAGTCTATGGAAAGCCACAGAATCTAGTATTCTGGAGTGATGCCTCCCAATCCCACATGGGGCCTAAATGTGGTAGGCCAGTGGTCTTTCCAGCACTACATCCCAGCCAGAACTTTCACAGGGACAGGATCCTTCTTCACCCCACAACTTGCTACCTTGAATACATACTCAGGTCTGTACTGGCCTCACTTCTTTCTGGGGGCCTTGGAAAAACTGTCCCGTTATGCTTCCATCTCAACAAAAGGAGCTTCCACTACCATGATACTTCTTTTGCCTGCTTTGGTGGGCCCCAAGTACTATATGCAAACTCCCCAGCAAGGCCCAAGGCAGAGAGCCTGCAAGTGGTTGCCTCTCCACACAACTAAAGGGCAACTTGAAACCATGGAAAGAAGAAAAGCAAGATTAGATTTAGAGAAGCAAGCTGTTTCTGGAAGTACCCCTCTCGCAGACTTCCTCAACCTGGGACCCACCAGATATTTTGAACTACAACTTCCATTACCCCCAACTAGCATGACTCATGGCCACGGGTGACAAAAGATGTGATCCAAAACATCTAGAGGTAAGCCAGGTTGGGGGCAGCTGCCCCAGTGCCTGGTTGGGCACCTAGTTTTTATTTATTGGTTTTAAACTGTTGCCGAGATGCTCTGAATTTTTAATGTCTATCCTATGTTTGTTTATCCTCTTTGTAAGCCACCCCGAGGCTTTCTGTGATGGGGGCGGCATAAAAATGCTTCAAATAAATAAATGGTATGAGGCTGGATCACCCAGGTGAAAAGCTGGAGAGCAAGGAGCAACGTAGCAACAGTCGGCAGAAACCCCAAGCACGTACCATTGAGCTGGAGATCTGTAGCAATCTTCTTGGTAGCAATGTACTCCACAAGGAAGCTGAGATGCTTTGGGTCCTTAAGCCGGGAAGCCACATTATATAGCAGAGTGCCAACTGTTTTGTCAATAGCTGAACCAAGGATCCCTTGAGCCTAAAAAGTGAAGAGAACACAAGGGCAAAGTTGGACTCCAGTTCGGACTAACACCTTGATCCAAGGATGCCAAGAAGAATAAGACCCTTCCCTGCTTTCCTCTTAGATGACAGGATAAGCTACCTTAGCACAATCACTCCAGATAACAACTCCCAGGCCGTGTGGAGCTGCAAGTCCAAAGTATCTAGAGAGCATCCTGTTGGGAGAGACTACCTTAGCTGCAGAAAAAGCCCAGCCAGATCTGTCTCTCTTCTGCCCCTTCCCAACTTACATGTCAGCATTTCAGAACTGTACAAGTTTCAGAAGTTGGCACCTCAGGAATAGCATAGGCAACTTCATGCAACAGTCACTGTTCCTACACTTATGCTTAAACAAGAGTGCAGCATGTGATTTGCTGCTTGCTGATGCACCATGCTAGCCTCAGTAGACCAGGGGCTATTTAAACCCCACTGAAGCAACTTTCATATGTTTCTGCAGAAGAGAGTAATCTTGTGACTGTTAAGAACTATAATTTAAACAATCTGCTTCTCTAACAAAAACAGAAATAGGTCTGTGATAATCCCCACCCCCTCAAATCCAACGACTTCAGCCACCCAACCAATAACTTCATTCTGCCCAAGCAAAACAGAAAGTGAATGGAAAACCAATGCCCCACTTCTGCAGTTCCTTGTTCTCGGTTTATTCTCTCTGCTCCAGTACAACCTTCAGGTTCTCCAGGACATGAAGGAAGGGAATTCCAAAGCAGAAGAAAAGGGCTGATATTGTTCAGAAAGCAATGATCTGCACAGATACGTTGGAAATTTTTCCAATAGCCTTATTTTTATGACAACAGTGTTGAAACCTGGAAGAACTGATCTTAATCAACTCTGACACACACCTGCTCCTCGGTCAGCACTCCCTAGTTTAAATTAAGCTTAAGTGCATGCAACTACATTTGCTCATACACACCCCTTATTCCTCTCACCTCTCTTCCCCCATGTTGCTACAAGCAAAACTCTCAGGAATTTGAATGCCTACAACTACTTTTGATATTACATTTATATCCTGCTTTTCTACATCTTGCAAGAAACCCAAGCCAGCTCACAAAGCTCTCTTCATCTCTATTTTATCCTCACAACCCTGAGGGGTAGCTTACACTGAGAGTCCATAAATGACCAAAGGCAACCTCTGAGCTTCTTGGCTGAGTGGGGACTAGAACTTAAATCTCCCAAGTCCCAGTCTAACACCCTGATCACAACATCACAGTGGATATGGGACAGAGGCAGTGCTACAAAAGGAATCTGTGTTCACCCCAAATCAATCACCAGATTAGTTAGCTTAGAAAAGATTTCAGATCTGAGATTTGAAAAGATTTGAGTTGCTTTGAGAAAAATCACTGGTAGAAATCACACCAGTTTGTTATTGCCATTATCAGGAAATTCTGGTTCAAAAAGCAATTCCTTATCTAACTGAGCAAAAGTACTAGCCATTGACACTAATGTTTTGCTATTAATGTTAGAATTTTCTAGCTGGAAATTGTCAAAGCAAAAGCAACCCTCATTTCTAAATTAAGTACAGTCTGCATCAGATGAAAACAAGTGAGAAACAGATTTCTGATTGGCCCCTTTACCAAAATGACCAGTACAGAATACAGTCTGACAGACTGATCCTGTGTATATTATTAAGAAACAGCTCTCACTGTATTAAATGTGGCTTACTCACAGGGACATATGGAAAGGACTACAACTGTGATGTAACTAGGAACAGAACATGAGGAACAAAAATGTATAGCAATTTTGAACTGGGGAAGAGGGAAATTACTCTAAAATGAAAACATCTATCATGTTTTAAATCAAAGATCAGAAAGGGAGAGACCAAATAGTTATCCTTTCTTATGACCAAATCTAATTTCCGTCCCCAGGTCAATTAACCCTGCCAAAGACTGACAGATTCACTTTGAGGATTTTGTCAAATTTGATCTCACAACACATTAAATGCCACTGTACGTTTCTGTAACACCCACTGAACATACGAAAAGACAAAACAGATAATTATACAGAAGCGTGCCACTAATATTCAAATAGATGGAACAGTGGGAAGGGGATGATACTGTTAAAAACAGCTGCAGAAGAAAGAGCAAGTCGAGCCCCATAGCCTTTCTGGTCTGAAAATGCAATAATGGGGAAAGCTACATCTGTTGGATCGCAGCTACTCAGGTACTTCTGAAGGACGCAGGAACATGGCAGGGGCAAGGAGCGTGGCAGGCTCCAAGAGGGGAGATTACTAATCGTTATGAGAGCGCAAGGTGATGGCGGTGACCTGCTTGACGGCCTCGCGGAGCAATGCGGTGAGCGCCTCGTTCCGAAGGGTCTCGCGAGCCTTGCTCTCGCTCAGCCCGATGCCCACGAACAGACCCAACACGTCCGCTTCATCAGCCGCCATGCTGCTGCTCGCTACTGCCGGAATGATCGCTCCTACTTCCGCCCACGGAAGGGCACTGACTTCTCAGTCTGATCCGTCCAATCACCATGGGGCGGGTAGACCCTGCGAAAAAGTAAACACCAATCAGAGGTTACCATTTTTCGCGTAGCCAATGAGAACAACCATCGTGAAACCTACGTTCCCGGGTTCTGCAACAGATCAGAAAAGACTAAATTGAAATTGGGCGGGATTCTGGGTTGCTTCTGGTTGCATCACTCGCACGAGTCATTTTCAAAATTTATGCGGTTGAATAAGGAAACGGTTTGAGCAGAAATAGTGGAAGACGCCCGCCCCCTAGTGTTTGTTTAGCTATTTTGCACTATTTCCAGCGCAATCCTATACAGGTCTATTCAGAAATAACTTCCACTGAGTTGGTATCGGATTGCAGCTAAAAATGTCCACATGTGTTGCTTGCCATGTAATTGTCAGAGGGGTAGCACCAGAAACAAAGAATCCTGTGGTACCTTAAGCAATAAAGATTTTATTCCTGCAAAAGCGTTCGTGGAAATTGGTTGCTTCATAGGAATGGTCAGTTCATTCAACTTATCTGCTTCACCTCATTCATCAGAAAGCAGCCTTGAAAACTTATGCCAGAATAAATGTAACTAGTCTGAAAAATAAAGAGTCAACGTTGCAGGATGTTGGGGGAAAAAGCAAGAATTTTTATTCCAAGAAAGAGCCCATCTGTTTTGGCACTGACTCCTGTATAGACAACTTCTTCAGGAATCAGTATTTCTAAAAGAAAACAGAAAACAATTTCCAGGATGAATACCTACCCCTGAGGAAGGCCCATATATATTATTCAAGGCTGAACCATGTTGTTATTTTCATTCATTCATTTCTATGCCACCCTGAAGCTGAAGCTCTCTGGGCAGTTTACAACAATCTATAAAACAAAAGAAAATACAGTACAAATACCATAAAAACAGTTTTAAAATGGATTTAAAATAGCTGAAAATACAGTAAAAAGAGCCAACAAAGAAGAAACCAAGGAGCTCTTTAAAGGCCTCCACACAGACAGTGTTTTGACCTGGCACTGAAAAGATGGAAAATTTGTCACCAGGTGACTGCAGCAGGTATGATGGATGCTCCAAAGGGGGATCACCACAGAAACAGCCCTCCCCCCTTCCTAGCACCCTCCAAGCCTTCCATGGGGTAGCCACCTGGAGGAAGGCCTCAGAGGTTGAGCATAGTATCCAGGTGGATTGCAGTCAGGAGATCCCAGGCTGATCTTTGGAATTTATTATCTTTTCAATATCTCTATTCCATTTTGGATGTTCTTCTGTTTTGTTTGACCCCCTTAGTCTTTCAGCTGCCGAAAAGTATTGTACAAATGACTGCATTGGTGGCATGCTCCTTAGTTCTTTTATCATAGAGTGTTTATTGTATTTTTATGTGGGGCACAACGCAGATGCAGATTTAATAAGGACTTGGGCTGCGCTGTTGTTGTCATCACCAGTGGTGCAGTGCAGCTAATGTTTTCTTTAAATGTATATTTTGCTTTTTTGGGTAAAGGTTATGGCACAGGTAAATTTTGCATTGAACCGTCTTTAATATTCACAAATGTATATGCTCTTTTAAAAGATTTACCTGCTTCATGGAAATTAATTGATGGCTAGTGTGAATGGAGTCTTGGTGCCTTTTTGACAGCTAAAAGACTGATATTACATTATTGGAAGGATAAACACCTCCTATCAGTCTGTTGATTAAACCAAGTTCGGTGGAAAAGAACACCTAACACTAGGCTCTGCCCAGTGTCTATGGGAAGGGGACGTTATATAAATATTAAGATTAAATAAGTACATAAGATATCATAAAATTACAGAAGTAGTTGTTCTGGAGAAAAAGAAGGTCTGTAAACTGGATAATATACCCATTCATCAACAGATGCCTGGGACTTAGGTTTAAAGTCCAGCTCTCATGGAACCCTTATTTGGAGGTTGCCACACTGAAATCTTTCCACTGCATACAGCCCCTGATGTGTTTCTTCAAACACCGAGGCAGGGGGCTCTCTGAACTGGCAGCTGAACCATTTTCTCATTTTTTGAAGAAAATGAGGTAAGAACTCCCTTAACCTCTATATGGTGCAGAGATCTGGGGGATCAAACAGATACATCTTTGGACAATTGATCTGCTTTTGTTGAAGCAAGCCTATGTATACTTGCTAGAAAGGTGTATACATATATGCAATCCATGGGTGTGTTTTTAAATGGGGAAAATGAAAAGTGAAAAAAGATAAAATACGTGTTCCTAGTGCCTGCGGGATCCACTCTGGAGACTCCTTCTTGGGCCCGCTAGAGGTACCGCTAGAGGGCTGTCTTGGGGATCCTGGTCTAAAGCTTAGGCACAGAGAGATGTTGAGCACATTCTTCTGCAAAGTCACAGTGGCTATAAAGTCCCGTGTTTCTCCATTGCCTCCTATAGGCAGAAGTCACTTTATCTTTTCCAACAAGAAAAAAATGGTGTCAAAGGTAATCAGGAAGTTCCATCTCCAGACAAATGAGTCAGTCCAGTGCTTAGTTATGTCTACAGTACAGACAGATACAGAGACTGTGTTAAGCTGAGAAGCAGTTTCTGCCTGCCACAAGCCCAGTTGGAGTAGATAGGAAAGGGCTATCAGGCTTGCTAGAAGGACCAGTTTATGAATTTGCCTGAAACAATGATGCTTTTAACAGGCAGTAGTTAATTCTCTGCATAGTGGGAATAATATATACATTGTGCCCCTGGAAACATTAAATATCTAATCCTGAGAATAAAACTGTTGTTCTTCTCTTGTGAACTGCCTTGGTGCAGCTTGAAGATTTTGTTGGAAAATTCCAAGGCTCAACATATTGCTTTGAGACAAATCGGTCTGGAAAAAAACAGCATCAGAAGCAACTTTGATTTTGTATTCCATTTTAACAGTATTGCAATGAAAATCTCTTATCATTATATATATCCTTGTTACCAAGAATGTTCCCTTTCACTCCACTTAGGCTAACCCAAGGAAGACTACTAAGCCGGAGTGCGGCAGCCATGTTGTATTTCCTGTGCAGGAGGGAGGAGGGGGGAACTGAGAGTAGTGAACCCTGGTGAACTCCTGGGACAGGCCAACTGGACAGCCAAGAGGGCAAGTGGGGAGGACCCTTGGTGCCTGGGACCGATTGGAATCTCAATAAAAGTAGAAAAATACATTATAAATTGCAAGTAGGTGAGAGACATAAAGTGGGTGTGAATAGTTTGGAGATAATTAGCAGACACTGTTTGTGAAGGGGAGTCCTTGGAAGATTAAAGAGTTTTTCTGTAAACTAACAATCAGAACAAAGAATAATAGGTGAATGTATTAACTTTGTATCCGGACATCATGTATGTTTTCTGTACCTCCTTCGAGATTGTGATTTGCTAAGCATCTCCCTTCTGTCTCCACTTTAGAACAAAGTGTGCTAGAATAAAACTGCTTTTAGCGCAAAGTCTCATCTCAGGCTCTGATTGGCTTGGGGTCTGGGGTCCATCTGGGTTGTCCCAGTTGGTGACCGGCTGAGTTCAGCAACATCCTCATAAGCCCACCATGCTGAATGCAGCCCACCAGCATACAGTAAATCTCTTTTTGTTGCGGGATCATGACATTCTAGTCAGAACAGCAAAGACTGTGAAGGTTGCCATACCTCTAGGATTGCGGAGGCTAAAAGCAAGCGCCCACATCTCTGGGAGGCCCTTTGCCTCACCACCATGCTGTCCACGCGCGCTTGCTGAAATAAAAAGCCAGGAGCCCACATGAGCTTTTTGCCCACGTGGGCTTTGCCTCCTGCTGCCCCTTTGAATCTTTCTGCCTGAGGTTTTTTAAACAATAAGATCAAATGCCCCCTCCCGCCTCCATGCATCCCTTTTTACAAATGGGGTCTGTCTCTTTAGGCTATAGGGTCCTTTACAAAATCTAGAGTATTGGTAAATTAGCATATGCAAATTTGTACAGAGGTTTTTTGTGGTTCTGAACCCCAGGTCTTTGGGTACTCAGCACTGACCCTGCCTAACAGAAGCATGTTGATTCCTGCAATAAAGAAGACAAGATAAAGCCCAACACCTCCTGAAAGAAAACTAGACATCTAGAGAAACTGCTTCTGACTGCTCTCTGATTAGGACAGATTCCTTAAATGCACAAATGCACTAGGTAAATCTGATCAGTAAATATTTGTACAGGGAATTCTGTTTTCTTCCAGTGCTGTTCCTTCAGTAATTGTCCTTATGTCATATGTTTCCATTTTTGTGCAAGGCAGGCCCTTTGCCAGTTCATTGAACTGAGCACAAAGGTCTTTAAATAGCAAAAACAGTAACTGTTAATCATTAATACTACCTTTTGTTATAATGATACAAATTAGGGTTAAAATAATATTTAAAATTATTGTGTGTTAAAACAGACTTCCCCAACCCCCAGGTGCTTTGGACTGCAATTCCCAGCATTCTTGACCCTTGGCCATGCTGACTGGGATCAAAAGTAGCTGATTCCCAAACAACAAAGGGCACCAAGTGGGAAAAGGCTGACCTAAAACAAGGCATGTACACAACATTTAAGAAAAGGGGCTCTGCTCAAATAGACTGCAAAATAGTTGCAAATTAGAACAAGAGAATGCTTGTGTTAAAAAGACTCACCGAGTGGCCATGTGCAACTTAAGGCGGTGTCACAGTTTTGAACTGATGCAAAGCTAATGAACAGAAAGGCCCAACAATCAGTAACATGCCAGCATGATTAATCACCCACGGGCTTGTTCTGTGGAGAAATGGCTGCTGTCGTAAGAGGCCAATGCTTCCTTCGTCTTCCCATGGTTGCTGCTACCCTGCAGGAGGCCTTGGCCAGAGTAATTTCTATACCATGGTTGCCTTCACTGCCAAAGTGTTCCGGTGCTGCCAAGGCATACAAGTACTCCCCGTTTTCTTGACAAGTGAGCGTTCCAGGACAAGTTGTCATTTAGGGTTGGTTTTCTCTGGAGCACAA